CCCCCGTTACCAGGGCAGCAGGAGATATGAGAACGTAGCAGCCTGTAGAGGAAGTGGTGGAGCAGCCCTGCCTGATGTGGAGAGCAGGGGACACGTGGCTGCCTGGCTGTCAGAAATGGGGGATCTTTCCAGACCTCTGCTGAAAGCTTAGAGGGGCCTCTCCACCTTAGAATTCCACACATCCCTAGCTCTGGGACAGGCACCCTGACAAAAGGGGGCAGGAGCCAAATTCGCTGAGGAACAGCCACATTCTCAATTCCCTTCCTGAACTTTCAGGAAGTACCCTTGAGCCTTAAACCTTGAGAAGTCTCACAGAAACAAGTGGAACGGTGCAAACCATTGTTTTATAAACCCAGTTCACAGAAGAATCCTATGTGTGCTCTAGAACTCACTGGGCAACACCTGTTTCTGCCTGGGGATGTCACGGGACCATTTCTGCAGCCCCATCTGGGCAGGGGCTGAGAGCACGAAGTATCTGGGAGCGGGAGCCCCCGGGTTCTAGCCTAGTCAGTCCCCAGTCAGTCTGAGACCCCAGGTTCCTCCTCTGTGGAGAGGAGTGCCCCATCCCTCGGTGTTCTGTGCTTTCTTCTCCAGCATACTTCTCTGCCTCTCCCCCATCGCTGGTTATCTGACCAACAGGCTTATTTATGAGTAGTTCCTTACAGCCCGGTGATCCCTCCTGAGGCAGGAACAGCTCGAGGGAGTGAACCAGGGCTGCAGGTGAGAAGGCCTGAGGGACTTCCAAATACAAGGAGGAATCTGAGGCAGGCCTGGCAAGATGGCCTTCTGAACAGGATCCTTCAAACTGACTCCAGTGCAAAAGCTACCCTGAGAGGGAACCTGGGCCAGCCTGGGACAGGCAGCAGAGCTGGGCTGCGTGGAACCAGGGAGTCCTCAGGTCGTTTTCCTCTTCATCCGTCTCTCTCCCCCTGAGACCACCTTGCCTTTCCTACTTCCCTCTACACATCTGTTCCCCTCTCTTCCCTAAAGGCTGGTTTCCTCTGCCCACCTATGACCACACACGGCCGCCAGCGCCAAGTCCAGAAAACTTATGATTTCCAGCACCTACCACCTTCAGACTGCCCCAGCCATCAGTAGCTCAGATTCTCAAGGAGATAGTCTGATGGGCTTGGCCTAATTCAGGTAACTCTTCCCTTCTCCCCATCCCCTCCTACCAGCTGAGGCTGGGGGCATGGTAGAACCATCTGGTACAACAGGACTGGGGAAGAGAAGGGAGATGACTCTGGAAGGAGAATATCTAATAAACATAGGTCCATGTTTGAGCTGTAGAAATGGGGAAGGGGCATTCTAGAACCGAGCATCTCAAATGGGGCTACCCACAAAGCCATACCTAATAGGTCAGGGTCTCCTAGGATGGGTCCCAGGCACATGCATTTTAGGAAAGCACTACAGCACAAACTGCTTTTCCAGGCAGGAGAAATGAAGGGCACGAGTAGGTTTATCCAATATGACTTGACTGTATTAGAAGACGCATTTGTTCATTGAACAGATATTTACTGAGTGCCCGCCAAATAACATGGCACTGTTAGGTGCTAGAGGTGTAGAGTTTTTGTTCCTTAAGGAGCATGTATATTACTGGGTAAGAGTGGAAACATCGTCTCACAAAACTTGAACAGATGCTAAGGTGAGCAGTTGGTGTGCACTAGTCAGAGGGCAAGAGGAACTCGCTGAATATTTTTGAATCCAGGAGTTGCTCTATCAGAAATATGCTTTGAAAAGAAGAATGGCTTGCAACTTGTAGATAAATAAATCCTGGAGCCCTAATACACAGTACGGTAATTAGAGACAACAAAACTGTATTATAAGCATTAAACTTGTTAAGTGACTAGATCTTAATTATTCCCAACACTAGAAGAAGTGATAATTACGTGGCACAATAGTGGTATTAGCTAATGCTACAATGGTGATCATATTTCAGTATAAATGTATCAAATCAATACACTGCACACCTTAAATTTACACAATGTTATATGTCAAATATATTTCAATTTTTTAAAAAAAGAAGAATGGGCTCATGGATCCACCATGAGTTTTGGGAGAGGAAGGAAGGAAATGGAAGGCCCAAAGCAGACAGAACCACTCAGAAAGCACTGCAGTAATCCATACAAAAAGGCATAAAGATTATCTTTTTTAAGTAAGAAAAAAATGTAAAAATATTAAACTAATGTTTCATTTTTAGTGACAGAGTTATGGGGTAATTTTTTTGCCTGCTTCTTTCATACTTGTCTATATTTTCCAAATTGTCTATAACGAGCACCCAACACGTTTATAACGTTCTAATGATAAACGGGGTTCCGTTAGAGCAGTGGTTCTCACACTTGAATATGCATCAGAATGACTTTTAGGGCCTCCGAAAACTCAGCCTACTGGCCCCCACCCCCAGAGTTTCTGATTCAGTAAGTCTGGGCTGGGGCCTGAGAATTCGCATCTCTAACAAGCTCCCAGGTGCTGCTGCAGCTGCTGGTCCAGGGACCACACTTTGGGACCCACTGAATTAGAGAATAGTCAGTGAGACTGGAAAAAATGAATGCACGAGAGGCTTCAAAAGAAGAACCAAGAGGCTCTATTAAATGATTGAATATGAGAAGGAAAGGAGAGATTATGGTCAAAGATAACTCCTTAATCGTGAGTTGACTGTCTCTTTGAGATAACATGTGAGAATTCCACCTGTAATAGTAAAATAGTTCCTCACTTCCTTCCCCCCTGTGCAGAAGGAAGAGGACCCAGGACCACAGCCGGTACACCCTCCATCTCTTTGTGAGTTTCAAGGTTTGGTCAAGCATCCTTCGGCTTTCCAGTCATCCCCCTTGGGCTTTTCCTCTTGTGCGTTCCTGGTGTTCACAGGACAGGTTCTGAAGGGTGGAGCCTGGGAAAGGGTTTATTAGAATTTCTCCGGCAGGAACTAGAGCCAGGAGGCTTACTTGAAGAGGGAAGGAGGGCTGTGAAGCGAGGGTAAGTACAGCTGAACTGGTGGAGGGCAGTTCATTAGCTCAGGTGCCCCACCTAAACCCACGTTGCCTGCTGGAGGCAAAATGGAAAATATAGAACCTGTCAACTCCTCTTTGAGCACAAACACAAGTGAGCGCTGATGATCCAGAATCCAGATTTAGTCAATTCATTTAGTCAACAGACATTTATTAAGCATCTAGCTACACTCTGCCCAGTACTGTGTGGAGGGCACTGGGAAGGAACCAGGAGAAATAAAACATGTGGCACTCGCCCTCAGGGATGGTGGAGACTTAGCATTTATGAAGCAACCACAGATACACACACACACAGAGCCCAGTGTCAAGACCAGAGGTGCTGTAGCTTCATGGCCAGTGCAAGAACCTGGGGCCAGGTTCTAACTCTCACTTCACCGAGCTGGGTAACCTTAATCAGGGTACTTCTTTCTCTCTAGCTACTTTCTTCCTCTTAAAAAGAGGAGAAAGAAGAATATAAGCAAGACCCACTTCATAGGGTTGTGATGAAGATTAAATGAATGAATATTTGTAGAACACATATAACAGTGCCCTGGCACTTAGTGCTATGTTTGTTAAGTAAATAAATCAAAAGGAAAATATTGACATATTTGACTGCATAACAACTTAAAATGTGTGTGTAGGACCAAAGGTCATAAGTCAAGTTCAAAGACAAAAACATGAGGAATTATTTGGCATACATATGCAAAAGGGTTGTTATTTTAAATGTATAACTCTTGACAACTCAAGGAGAAAATTATCACCCTAGTGAGAAAGGGGGCATATGCACAAAAGGAGAAACAAAACAATGGCAATCTACCTGTGAAAAGATGCTCAGACTCACTACAAAATCACAGAAATGCCAATTCAAGCAATTGTGATTATCTCATTTCATCTATCAGATTGGCACAGACTTGAAAAGAATAACCACACCAATGCTGGTGTGGGTGTCAGAGGAACTTGACTTGGTACAACTATTTAAGAGGTCCGGTGAATTGAATTAAAACTTAAGGGCAAATGGCCACGGTCTCTAAATGTCCAGCTTCTAGGAATCTATCCTAAGGAGATGCCTTAACAAGACAGTAAACTTCCCCTCCAGACTGCCTGACCCCATGAGAGCATAAGCTCCATGAAACCAGGATTCACGCATGTTTTATTCAGCCCTGTACACGAGCAGTTACCCCAGTGTCCGACGGGCACAGAAGACAATCAGTGTATTGAGTGAATGCACTGAAATATGCGACAATGTTTTCAGGACAGTGTTTGTTGAGACATTGTTCAAAATCGTGGGAACTTGGAGATTGCCAGAATAATAGGCTAGAGGCATGTTGTTAAACTATATGGGCCACAGTCACCCATGTTCCCTTCTATCTGCATTTTCCAGTCATTTTAAGTGAAGCTTTCCCTTTTCTGAATCACTTTCACATTCTCATATACTTGTATGTGTGAAACAATTTGCAAACATTTCAAAAAGTAAGAGTCTGGGGGAAGATGGATATGTTGGCAAAGCTTTTCACCAAACTGCAGCATTCTGTGATCTTTTCAATCAGAAGGGATAAAATGATCCCCTTCTGCAAAGGCTGGTGCTCCAAGCAAACAAGAGAATTGCTGAGTGTAACAAACGTTGCACCCTGCGTAGCGGGGTCTATTCTATTGTCTGCTTGTGGGAAAGCTTTCAGTTTACTAGTTTTGAGTATCAAACATTTTCTTCAAACTCTTATGTAGGTTCAAAGATGAGGGAAAATACTCTTGAATTAAGAATTTGTGAGGGAGGAGGAACATTTACTCTCTGTTTCCAGATGAATCTTCTGTAACAACTTATGCTTCTAAGAGACCAAAGGTGGTTACATCTTTTTTTTTTTTTTTCCAGATCTGATAGAAAATCTGTGCCCAGCTGAGGCACTCTTCCTGGGCAGAACTACTGCTTCCCCTGCCCTGCCAGGGATCCTCCCTGCAGTCAGAAGTTTGTCCTAAAAGAGGCTGCCCCTCTGAGCTCTTGGATTCCATTTACCTACAGTCAGTTCTCATTCCTTGTGGGAGTTGCGTTCTATGAAGTCTCCATAAATACTGAACTAGCAATGCTGAACCACCGCTCCCAGGGGAAGTATCAGGTTAGGTTCCTGCAAGCCACTGGTCACAACATTTTCATGATCAATTCATCGATCAACTCATCTGATCAATTCGTTACCTCATTTTCTCTGTTTCCACTTAAAGATACCTTATTTAATATATTTTGTTAATTCGTTAACATTGAGCTCATGGCCGACAGCACTGTGACACATGTCTGAAGGAAGCTTATCAAACACAAGAAAGCTGGTCTTTTCTCCGCACACAATCAGTTTCTGGCACGTAGGAACACAAGACAGTGCTTCAGCACTGTGACTGGGTGCCATTTTAAACAGCAAAATCACCAACCAAAAGTACCCCCACAAACGTGACACTAAACAGACAGCAAAAGGGCACTTGTTTACAGTGTGAGGGCTGAAACAGGCAAAGAGACACTTTGTTCCGTCTCAGCTGGGAATGTGTGTGGGGTGACTCAAATTTGCTGCTACTCTGTGCATGTCCACGAATGACCACGAGGTCCCCACAGTTATTGATTTTGTGATTCCAAATAAATGCTACAAGTAGGAGAATCTGCAAATATGAAACCCATGATTAGTGAAGGTCAGTTGTATGTAACAGTCATCTACATAGCAGCATATTCAGCGCCAGTGAGGGTTCCAGGGCTTTGCAAATACTCACTCTTTCAGCCTCACATTAACCGTGTGAGATAGGTACTATTAGTATGCCCATCTTATAAACCTAAGGCACAGAGAGGTTTAGCCACCTGCCCAAGGTCACACAGCTTGTAAGTGATAGGGCTGGGATTTGAACCCACAGAGTCTGGCTCCAGAGTTTGGAGCCATGTTCCAGGTAAGAACCAAGGGAAGCTTCGGATCAATCCAGAGCATTTGGTTTCATCTTAAAGAACCTCTTAGGGGTCAAGGATGTGAAGAGAGGAAGAATTATGACCAAGAGATGGAAGGGAAAAGGGACTTGGAGTAAAAAGGGACTACTTGCCGAAACAGCAGAAACAATCACCATCAGCAAAGTTCAGCTTCCATGTCATAATCAATATGGTATGGTATACCTTTGTCATCAGAAATAAATCAGCTAGCTACTGAGTGTCAAACAGATCGTACGTGCCTTGAGAGGCAAGCACCCTTCTTCTGCTTCTCCGCTCAGAGCCTGTGGCGTACTGGAAATCAAAAATATCAATCACTTAGCGGGGGTGGGGGTGAATGCTCCTTTCTTATCCCTCTTTCAAAATGGTATCTAATAACTATAGAAATTAATGAAAGAAAAGTAGCATCCTCAACCTCTTCCTCCTCCAGAGTTTTTAAGAGCATTTATTGTTTTCCTCTCTTCAGCAAGTACACAGAGTACCAGTCTCATGGGCTTCGGTGACTGTGTCTGCCAAAGTCTTCACCATGCCAAGAAATAACTTCTCTCATTTTACTTTTTCAGAGGGACGTGAAAGAAAACAATCAATTCTTCTCCCTCACATCGTCTTTTTAAAACAAAGTCAGAGCTCTGCATTCGATGAACTTTCTGGGAAATGTGACATAGATTAAAAATATTACCAACATGTTTCCCCACCGTACAAAGTTCTTTTTCGGAGATTAGCAACTTGCCCAATTTATTACGACAGCCAAACCTGATGTCTCTTCTCCCCTACTGGGCAGTGCAACTCACCAACACTTTCTGTTTTGAAACCCCTGCGCCTTCCAAAAATGGCATCTCTTGCACCTTAGTATTGTGATTCAGAGGCAAGCAAAACGTGCCCATAAACTGTGAGGCATGAGTACATGTGAGGGATCCTTCTCAGAAGGGGTGGGGGCTGGGAAGGAAGTGGCCAAAGGGATGGCTGTCTCTTTGTGGGTGTGATCAACAGCACCCCATTTCTCTGTACTCAAATACACATGACTCTGACTGGCTCCAAAGAGCTGGCCCCTAAACAACCAGGCGTCCTTTTTAAGTTGGCATTTCTTCTGGAGAGGAATACTGAGCATCTTTCCTCCCATGCCTCACACAGTGCTGGGCCAGCTGTCTAACAATATGGAACCCGGAAGGGGGTGCTGCCCACGTTGGTGATGGCAGCCATCAATGCCTGTTGCTCACAGCTAACGTCAAAGAGACCTCAGCACAGGGGTCCCCGTGGTTGGCTAAGACTCCCCCTGGGCAAGCATCCATGCACCAGAAGTGCAGCGGAGGCCACCCGAGGGCCAAAGTGGGCGTGCCACAGAGCCCTGGCCTTCCGGATGGAGTCTACTCCCAGCGAGTGGACGTCAGAGCTCTCCGGAGTCTGCCCAGGCCAGGTTCAAAGGGAGGGATGAACATCATGATATCCGTTCCAAAGAAACCCCACCTACTATTGGTGCGCCCATGCTTCCCTACCTCCCAACCTCGCGGGCAAGTCTCCAAGGGCATGGTGAGGAGGCAGCTACAACCGTCTGCTTTTGCTTAATGATCTAGACAGGGAAGACGCAGAGATGGCCATTCTCAGTAACACTGGGACCCTTCAGTTGGCTGGGCTCCTGAAAGGTCATCTTGTCGACCCCTTTGTTGGAAAATCGTGCTTCTCTTTGGTCCTGGAAGTCTGGCCTGGCAGATTTGCCGGAGTAAGTTTCTCATCCACTTGCACACCCACACCAGGTTGATGTTCCGGACTATATGCAGACCTACTCCGACACAACCCGTCTTCCTCCAAGCTCCAGGGCCATCCCCTGCCACCCCGTGCACGAGCCGCTCAGCCGCCCACAAGGACCCCCTAGCTTGCTGCTGTGGAAGGACAAGCCAAGCACAAAAGGGACAATACACAGCAGTTGCTAGGGAAAAAAGCTCACTCCATCCACTTCATTCTCTCTGGCAGACACAGCTGAAAGATTTTTTTTTTAAGCCCCGAAAAACTCATTTAAACTGGGGGTGCAAAAGGCATCTGAAATGTGAGAGTCCCTGGGCCGGCACAGGGGTAGAAGGGGAAGGTTTCAATGAAACACAAAAGCAACGCAGACCTGAACAGGGAGCAGGCTGCCCGAAAACAAGGCAGCCAACTGCCAAACTGTCATTTTGCTCGGCGGCTGAACAGAAGGCTCGAGTAATGACAACCACAAAACTCATTTAAAGTCTGAAAAGGTGACTAATGAGCTCATTCATGCTGCCTATAAATTATTCACTACAACACTGATCCCACTCAAGACAAACAGTAAAGTAAACTTTAAACACAGACACCGCCGGCCTCCAAAGCAGAACGAGTTATGTCTGTAAAACTTCTTACAATGAAGGGGATACTTGTCTCTCCCTCCGTCTATTGTCACATTCATTCTTCTGTTTACTTTTTTTTTTAGCTGCCTTTAATCAAGTTTAAGCAGACACAGCTGTTACACATTTATTTCTCTGTTGAGTTTTTTCCATTAGTTATTACGAGCAATCATGATGCTCTAAAAATAGCAGCAAATTATATTCTCTCAAAATTGAAGGCTGACCTTAAAATGAAGCCCAGGTCTTCGGAAAGAATATTCATATGCACATGTTGGGTGAGTGACAGCGCAGCACAAAGGCAAAACAAAAGTACATTTTCCACTCTTTGAGAGGTTTACAATTCGCTTCCAAATTTCCTCAGGTTCTAGTGGAAACGGGTTGCTTTAAAACCTTACAGGATGGAACCTGCTTCCAATGGTCATGTTTTCGTTGAGATTTTCATGAAAACACACCATCTTAACAGCATAAAAGGGGAAATGTCTTATGTCACTTTTCAGCCCAGATCACCGCAGCAGCAGGTTTGTTGGAAACCCACCACATCTCTGCAGACTGCTTTCAGTTTCCTGTTTAATATTAAATAAAGAATTTTAGCTCTTCTGTTTTTCACAAACTGTGCTATTTGCAACTACTGTCACCACAAAAAGCACTATGACTGTGGAGAAGTAGTCCTACTTTTTTCAGACCTTTTTTAAATCTTAGAATCTATTCCAAAGACGTAGTAAGAGTTAAAGTGTTTTAAATCTGTCTAATAGATTAAAAAAAAAAAAGTCCCCAAATAAGTACTTACATTAGTTCTTGGTCAGATCGCTGAACATTATGTATTTTTTAAGCTGCTTTGAATACTTTGAAAAGGAGCCACAGAAAAGCCACAGAAAACACTCATATTCAAATACCGCCAGATGGAGGTTCTGACTAACCAAAAGCGAAAGCAGAAAGGTCTGAAGCCGAGTGGTGCCCTGCACATGCCTCGAGATTCAGGGGAGAAAATGAATGATTGCCTGGTCTTGGATGGGGGGGTTTCTTGCCTAATGCAGGAGAGGAAATGCATGGAAGAAAAATTCAGACCCGGGCTTTTGCTTCCACCTGAGACAGGGCCAAACTCTGTCTCCATTTAAGGAAAATCTTTCCCATTGTTTTCAGTTTCTTGCACAAGAACTAAAGACTTGTCCAGCCATTTCTGCTACATTCTGAAATGCGAAGCAATTTTTCTTTTAAGTAGAGGAAGAGGAGTCCTGCAATATTGATAGCAAAGTCCTTTGCCACCTACCGACAGCAATCTGGTTGGTCTTCACGTGTTTTGCATGTTTTTTTCTCCACGTTTCTGTATCTAGTAAGAAGGCTCTCTTTCGGCCCTCTGTGCAAAAGGAGTTCTTGCAGATTTGCTGCTGTTGTTTTTCTGATAAAACAACATGTAAGAACCCAAGTCCAAGCAAAGAAATGGAGAGGTTTAAAATGGCATCCCGCTGCAGTCTCAGCTTCTCCACAACTCTCCACTAACTAGATTCCTGTCACCTCTCTGTGGCAGGGTGGGGACAAAATACTGCTTTGAAGCCAAGCCACAAGGGGTCCTTCGTTTGTAACTTGTCTGACAAGAGCCCGCCTCTCCCTTTATTGGTGGGAAACCCAGCTTGTCCAAAGGCCATCCTGACATGACCTTACTCCTAACTGTCCTGGGAGGACCAAGGGTAATGTCAGCTTTGCTTGAGGATGTTCAAGGCACCAAACAACAAAAGCCAAAACAATGAGCCCCAACTACCCAGGGACTGCAGTCCAAGGAATCACACAACATACAGAACAAAAGCTCTCTTAACGCCTCCTGCGGGCCAGGCTCCGTGCCAAAGCTTTACCTACACCCTTTACTGTATCCTTCTGTTGTCCTTACCAGGTGGGGGCTGTCACCCTCCTTTCCAGATGAGGATGCCGAGGCTTAAAGGAGTTATGTCATCAGCCAGTGTCAACAACTGGCGCTAAGAGACGAGATGAAAAGTTAAGACCCCAAGTCTCCTTGGCCCGCAGGAGCCCGTCCTCTGAACACTGCGCCCCCCTGTCCATTCACACCATCCAGTATCTAATCTCCAAGATCACAGACTATAACTTGCTGCTTGCAGTCTGCCTCCGGGGCTTCTTTGTCAGAGGCTTTTGGGTTTCTTTGATTTGGTTTTTGCAGAGCATTTTTCAAATGGACCACTAAACGTAGACAACCTTTCTACTTCCGCAGGCTTAGCTCCTGATACTCAACACGGAAATGGACGTCATCTCATGAACGGACAAACATATCTACAAAATGCTGAAAGATCCAGGGCAGTGGGCACACGCTAGCACAGTGCTCCTGTCTAAATCATAAAACACAATGATTTGGGGGGAAAAAACTCATCACAGTTGACAACTGCAGAGGCTCGGCCTGAAACTCCATGTCTGCCCCCGCCTCCCACCTGGATGGACCCTCTGAAGGAACAACAGCTATGAAGGTGCCCAGTAGGCCACTCAGAGAACAGTCTGCTCTTTCTCCAGTCCTCACCGTCCTCTCCCTCAATCCAACAAATGACCTTTTTTCAATATCCTACAACCTCGGGGATACAGATCTGATCGTTTCACTTCAAGCTACTGATGCCAAGGCACGGACATCTGACTAGAAACCATTTTGAACCATTTCTCTTTCCCTTTGCACACAAGGCTAGGTGGTAATTGCCTGCTAGTTTAGAAATACCACTGACAACCACACCAGAACTATGTTCCAAAAGCTGTATTACAGAGAATTAGATCAAAGCACAGATCAACTTTTGCCAACTCTATAAATACATTCAAAAGTTAGCCAGCCACAATAAAAATACGC